TGTGAGAATCGAGGCATCTGGGAATATGATTATGGCTATCTAACCTTTTCCTTATTGGATGTGTCTTCCAARGGATGGGAAGTCATGTAATTAGGAGAGTTAGCACCCTCCTCTYGTAAAGTTAGATGGGGCTTACTTTTCTTCACAGCATCACTGTAGTCTCTGCCATTTTCTCTCTGCATCACTTTTTTCTTTTGATTTTATTTTTTTAAATCTTCTTGCAGTTCCCTTTTGTTGTCATTATGGAGGCAGGATTTTTATCTATTCTTCTGAAAGTTGCAATTTCTACCAAGATTTTGTCTTGTGTTTTTATAATTTTAACAGTAATTGAAAAGCCATAATCAACTCTGCTGTGGGTTTTAACACTTAATACAAGTATGCTGATTATCCTGGGTAGCATGYTTGCTTCTCTGTCAGAGGGTAATGAATGCTGAAAAAGCACCTTGCACCACTACCAGCACATGTAATTTAGCAGATCTGCTTGCTTCACAGTAGAGTTCAAAACTGACATTCCTCAATTCCTAATTAACTTGACAAGTGTGTCTCATCCCACAATACCATCCTTCCAAAGGAAACAGTGGTAAGAGGGCAGTACAAGCAGACACAAATACAGGCAAGCAGTCTGGTAAGTGGGTTCAAGGCATAGGGAGAGCTAGGAAAATATGTATAAACAGAATTTTGGCACCCAGCACCTTGAAATGGTATCATTGGGGAATTTATCCCTCATTTATCTAAGGAAGATCCAAGCTGCATGTAGATCATTAATGAGTTTTGCTCAGGTATATCTAAACAATTTTCTAACTGAATACTTTGACTGCAACCTCCATAMTCTGAGTAATGTGATTCACTTTTCTTGGCCTGGTTTTGTAAGAGGGTGAGTCTTTAGTATTTGCCTTGCTTGTCCATATCTCTATATTCTCCCAGTGATATCTTCTAYCTTTTTTTCTCCCTTTTAATTCCAGAAAAATTAGAAAGGAGGAGGGAAATGTAGAAAGGTAATTGCCTTCCTTTTAGGTTTTGTAAAAATTGTAGCTGGGAAGAGTCCCAAATCAGGTTCTATTGCAGTAAAATATTTATCGTACTTAAAGAAAGGAAAGGATGTCAGRCCATATTTTTGTTATTACAGAGGAAGTCTATCTCCCCCTTGCTGACACCATTTGTCCCAAATCAAGAGTATAGAGAATAAGTACTAATATCATTCTCCTGGGGCTTACAAGGCAGTAATTCACAGTCAAATGCACAGACTGTTCAGTGGAAGGTTAAGGTGGTTATTGGAATAAGTGAATGAGATTACTGCTGCTGAAAACCAGGCAACTGGAGCTACTGACATTGTAAAGATAATCAAAGAGAACGAAAGATGATGAAAGATGATCTGTTTTAAAAAGGGCCTGTGTGCTTCCAAAACCCAGATTCATGTGTACTCATTTGGGATTCCTACATCAGACTGTCTTCTCCATATGCTTGTAAAGCGTGGGGTCAGCCCGGCTGGWACGTGGTATTTCCCAACTTTGGGTGGTATAAACATCTTGGAGTTTATTACCGGTGAGATGAACCACCAGGGGTTCCCAAAGGCTTTCACTGGCAAATTCCTGCTTCTGGTCTGGAGCCCCGCTTYTTGCAGATGAATTTGTCAGGCTTGCAAATATTAAGCTCTGCAGTCTAATGGGGTGGTGAGCCCAGTTCTGCTGTGCTCTACGTGGGTGTAGCTGTCACCTAGGTGAGGTTTGTCCTCTTTCCCATGGTGATAAATGAGCTATGAATTCCCARCAAGGGTATCCCTTGCAGCCTATACCTCCATCCAAAGTTTGTGTTTCATGGTGATTCTCTTGAAATGTCTCAAAGTTTATTTTTGGAGGTCTTATTTTTTCAGCCACTCATAAAAATCTGATTGATTCCTTCCTGTCCAMTACATGGAATACCTCATTGACACAGAAAACCATTGCAAAACTCTCCTGGGAATAGTGGAAACCCTTGCAATTAAGGAGTGCTTTGCATGTCCCCTGCGAGGAAGCTTTTTGGCACTGCTGTAGGATCCCCCTCACCACTTAGGGGTATCCTTAAAGAGRGGGATCTATAATAAAACTTGGCCAAATGGTGGAAATATGATCGACTTCTCAGTCTGATTAAGGCCAGCAGCCGTTATGTGGAACATTTGCTCTTGCCTTCTATGCAGCTCCATACTACAATGTAACTATTTATGGACCTGGCTCCAATGGGATTTATGGAAGGCAAAATACTACCAGTGGATTCGATTACTGCCTGYGAACGCTGCAAATGCTGCAGCACATTGCAACTGCTGCAAAATAAGCTTTTCACAAGGGCTGCCTGACGCTTGTCCTGCTAGCAAGAAATTCCCTAGCTGTGAGGAGATGGAGTTAAATGGCTCCTCACAGTTCTGCTCTTTTCTGCCTTCTTAAAGCTTACGAGTTGGTTTTAGTGCCACCTCTGTGCCTTCTCCATTTTTGTTTGTCTTCCTTGCTCCAGAGGAAGCAGAGCAGCATACTATCATGCCCAGGCTTTAACGGTGCTCAGTCTTTAGAGGATCTATTGTACTTTTTTGGCCAAATTTGTCATCTTTCACCCTCTGGGGAAAGTGAAGGGGTTGCAGGGCACCTGAGGGTGAAGGGTGGCTGTAAGTTGTCCTGTCCAGAAAAGAAGGTKGCAAAACCAAATGCCTTTTGTGCCTCTGAAGTTGAGTGATACATGAAAAATAACTTAAATTATCTCTTTTCCTTTCTGCTGGCACTCTTAGCATCCAGAATGTCCAAATACTGGGGAAGTGATTGTTYTTGGGAGATCCTGGGCTTCCTCCCTGTGAGCAGCAGGAGGGTTCAGGTTTCCTTGCAATAAGCTGGTTTTGCCTTCCCCTCCCACACTGCATTTTGCCTTCCCCTCTCTGTGCTGCTGTAAACTGGATTTGTGACATGATGCAAAGTAAAAGCAACCACTCTTTTTACCACAAAAGCTTACCAAAACTGGCACCATGGAAAACAGAAACAAGTGGGTGACTGAGATAGGGAGAGAGGTAAAACAGAAGTGCCTGCTGCCGTTGGAAGTGGCAGGGACCACCATCCTAAGGGTGAAAGCTGGCTTGGGGAACACTTGGAAATAAAAAGCTTTGTGGATCAAGCAATGTCACTTCAGCAGTAGCAACATCCCTGAGCCTTGCTCCAAAGCTGGGAAGGAGCTCTCTGAAGCCCAGCTGCTATGATGTGATATTTTGTAATCTTTGGCAAAGACAGGGAGTGTCGGAGGAATGTAAWTACATAGTCCTAAAGGGAGAGCAGTGCTTAGCTGTTTTCAGTTCATGGTAAGGGGATGTTTGATGAGTGGCATCCTCAGCCTTGGAAGAGTTTGCTTGTTCTTTCAAAAAAACCCAAACAAACAAAAAAGTCCCAAACCCAAAAAAAAAAAAAAAAAAAAAAAAAAAAAGAGAAATGAAACAACAAAACTCTACCCGTCAGATATTGCTGGGATCCAACCAAGACTTGCTCTTAAAGTCAGGCACAAACAAGTTTTTTAGCTATGTCTGAAGTTTGACGAATGGTTCAAAGTTAAACAATTCAGCTGTTGCAGAGGGACTCAATCAGTTTAACTCCACGCAGCTCCAGAACTGGCCCACTAAAAGGTAGAAAATACCTTTTGCCAAGGTTATTGAACTGTGCTTGGTAAGTTTAAAGGCACAGCTATGGAGATGCTGCAGTATCCATTCACAGCAGGTGTGACACTGAATTTGGAGGTTTAACTCTGTGTTCGCCTGGGCTTATGTCTTCTGCTGCGTTAAGAGTGAGTTTGCATCGTAACAATGCACCCATGCTGTGCACAGAGATCCCCGAAAACCTGAAACACACAGCTTGAGACCCCCTTACTCCTTGAGGCCCAGTTCCTTGCCTTGTGCTTCTCTGTCCTCATGTGTGGCCAAAGCAGGGGGTTGCCTGGAAATTCCCAAGGCTGTCCATTAGCAGATGAGGGAGACCAAGGTTGCTCTGGCCCAGTTGGGGAGAGCGAGAACACTGCAAGCTTATCTATAGGAGCCATTTCAGCTCTACCTAGGCCTGGTCTTTCCCTCGACAAATACCTCAGTGTCGAGCCTTGGTATCCTTATGCATGTGCCCAACTGGATTTTCCTGATGCTCTTATCCTTTCAGGATATCCCCAGTCCCTATGGCATTCTAGGGGGAGGCATATTTGGGGCAGGAGACTTCAAAGAGCCAAGGGCAACTTGTGGAAAAGGGAGTACTTGGTTCTCTATTCTCTGCAAGTTGGGAGTGGTTGGTGGAAGAACTTGTGCAATGTGCATRAAGATGACATGGGGAGATAAAGTATTTTCACCCAGTATGTGGAGCATGCCTGAAGAGCGTGAGTTGTCTTCCCTTATGGGGAGCTTGGGTGGCTTCAGGGTTCAGAACTGGGAAAGATGTGCTTTTTTTGGAAGGGTTTCCATGATTCCCACATCTGTCATTCCACACAGTATACAAACACAACCTCACTTGGGTGCACTTTTTTGGTTTGAGTGCCTTTCCCAGGAGCTGAAGCCGAGTTCTCTCGTGTTAGGATTTAGCAGCTGAGCAGTGTGGCTGTGTGCTTTGAGCAGCATGGTGGCTGCTGCTGTCAGGCTACATTGCCACCTGCTGGGGCCACCAATACCCTTCTGCGAGGGGTCTCCCAGATGGCAACCCTGCTGGGCCCCAGCATGTCTCCTCAGATATTTATCTTGAGCACATCTGCTGCCTCCTGCTTTTTTGAAGTTTGTCAGTGCTGATTACTGACAGTGGGCACTTGAAAAATTAGTACGTAGGAATGAGAAATGAAGTCATTTAGGCAGAGACAGCACTGTCTGTCCTCYTGCACTGTCCCTATGTCATCTCTTTGATAGCTGACGCTGCTGTCAGCTCTTGAGACCTGAAAACATGTCAGGGTCTCGGGGGACATGCACACCTACAGACAGCATTTGGTTAACAGYATTTGAGATCACACCGGTATACACAGATGAACACAAACTCAGCCAGATGGCAAAGCATTCAAAATGTGGTTTTTATTTGTTTCTAGTATAGGAGTATAGGTTATAYTCTATGTATTTTTTATTTTTTAAACTGACCACCACCATGGACAAACATAACCATCACCAAGTGTCAAGTATCTACACTTCTGACAGTGTCCCTCTCAGGCAGCTTGTTGAAACAGCAGATGAGTTTTCAAACCATGTCTTGGTCCTGCTCCCTCCCTTTGGCACAAAGGTGGGTGGAATTGGGCAGCACCACACCAAACCTCTGTATGAGAAAGGAAGGGTAACCAGAGAAACTACACTAAGCTGCATTCTCATCCTCATTGCTAGACCCCCCTCCTCAAGACCTTTACTGCAAATCTTAACTACTATGGAAACCCAGGCTGTGCAGGACCTCAAGCAACCTAATATATGCTTGTGGTGAGGGCAGGATCACCTTTATCCATGCCACTCCAGATAGTTTGGTCCTACAGCCTCTGCTGGCTGGACAGTCACAGCCTCCCTGAGGTGGACTGTTCCTCCTCCCACTGAGCAGGACAGTGCTCTTTTGGGAAGATCCACCTCTTCCTTTTGCTGGCCAGYACTGCACTAAGGTGTATTTTGGTGCAATTAATAGTAACCTGCAGGATTGTGATTTCCAATGGAACCCACCGAGGGAGGGTGCAGTCTTGGATGGAGACAGCAGTGCGAAAGGATGCCCTRGGAGGCCAGCACAGCCTGTAAGGGAAAGCCCAGGACTGGCCTAGATGGACTGGAGAAAAGGGAAAAATGTGAAATACTCTTAACACTCAGAGTGGGTGGAAGGCCACTGAGACTCCAGAAGCTGCCAGCGCTGCTGTTGTGGTATATGTTGATCTCTTCAGACACAAATCCTGGTCAGAAAGCATGGGGTAGAAATAACCCAAAGTTTGGTTGTTTCAGCATTTTTATTAGACAGTGCTTTACTCAGCAGTTGTACACATGGTCCTGATGCTCCCCTGATCAGTGTACCAATTCTGGGACATGATGTTCTCATTCYACCATGGCCCAAACTGCACAAACCTTTACAGAAGTGGTGCCCAAGAGAAACCCAGGCTCAGAGCAGTGTGCCTGCACTGCCATCACATCAGCCAAGATGGGAAGTAACTTTAAGTACTTAAGTTTGATAAGGCAACTCCTCTCTACTTCCCAGTCACTTCCCTGTGCTGCYTAGGTCCTGTGAATGATAGGGGATGCCTGCTGCTGAGTTCACATAAGCCTGAGGTTTCTGACAGGGATCCCCAGTCTCAAGGAGAGGCATTTCAGGCTGTCTTTTGATGGACTTTCAGAAASCTGTGAGGGCAGCAGGAGCATGGTCTGTGAGGAAACAAGCCAGCCTGTTTCTACTCTTTGCCTGTCCAGGAGGTTCTGGAGGGTGTGGCTATGCCACTGGGGCTCAGCTGTCCTGAGTTCAGGCAGMTGCCAGTGTGAGCTTGCCAGGTTTGGTGGTCACTGCCAGTCCAGGAGTGTAGCTGTGCTGCCCTGCTGCTGTTCCCCTGCCTCTTGCTGAKGCACTCAGCAGCTCAGCCCTTGGAAGATAAAACCTATGGCCATACTGGTGCAGGCTGAGGAGCTGCCCTTAAACTGCACAAAGCTGTGTGGCTCCACCTGTAAACTGCYCTGAGCTCAGTGTTAGCTCATGCTTAGTGGTAAGAAAGTGGCTTACAGAGTCAGGTCCCAAATTTCAGCAAACTGGTGCAGCATCAGCTAAGGACGGAAAAGCAGATTTACCCCCTGCCAAGTACCTGATCTGCCTGACACATCAAAGCCAATTAACTTGTGCAGATTTTCCAGCTGGGTAGATGTGTGGTTGCAAATCAAACTACAACAAGCAGTAGCAAGTCACAAACAAGTGACTCAAATAACCCATGTTTGGGAAAGCCTGTAAAAGAAAACATGTAAATTACATCTATAAACCTAATAGGCTAAACATTGACAGAACTCAGTAGCATACATCTCTTTTCCCTTGTTGCTGCTGGTGGGCACCTGGCACCACCTAATATACAAATTTAAATAAAGACTGCAAAATAAACTCTCAAAGCTACCAGAACAGACCACAAAAGCAAGTATACTTAGCTCACTTTTGGAGTGGAGTTTGCCACTAGATGACCAACGGACTAGCAAAGTTTAATGTAAGATGGTAGTGGATTATTTGTCTGCCACTGGAGCAAATGTACGAAAGAGCTGTACACAGCCTTTGCCTTTAGAGCAGAAAGGTGCAAACACAGGACAAGCCTTTGGCATGCCAGTTCCAGCTCTGCCAGTTGCAGTAAGATATTAAAAATATATACGAAGACTCCCCAGTCCATCACATTTGCTTCATGTAGCGGTGTCCAGATACTGAACCACCTGCTCTCTGGGTGCTCAGAAAGAAAGCACTTGAAAACAATTTGCAGGGCAATAGTTTCAGTTTTCCATCTGCYGTTTTCCAAAGGCAGCTAAATTCCTGCAACTATTTGTTAGCACAAAAAGAAGTTAAATACCCCAGGTTACATTTAATAGAAAACTTCTTCTGGGGAAATGGGATACAGAAAAAAGCAAAACTCTGTAGCAAACAAAATACTGTCTCCCTGCTCCCACCTGCAGCCCTGAGTTGTTAAATGACACCAGCAAAATCTGCATTCTGTCTTTTAAATCWAAACAATGTAATGAGATGACTAGAAATGTTACAGAACTCAGCATGCCCTCAAGAGGATGGATTTACATTGAGTTAGGTGAACAACGATGAGTCTGGAAAAAGGAGAAGGCAACCTCAAACTGTGTTTCCAAGTGCAGAACGATACAGGCTGGAAACTGCCAAGCAAGACTTAGATTTAGAGTTCAAACGCAGGGAACTTGGCCTTGGTAGGCACCAGCAGGTCAGCAAGAAAGTAAATCGTTCCAGCCATTCCTGAGGATAAAAAAAACCACACAGTGCTTCAGACAAATTCCCAGGGACTGAATGAGTTATGAAGAGACAAGAAAAGGTCTAAATAACTTTCAAGGTCTGAGCCCACGTTTCCCAAGCAACTTTGGTAACTTCAGTGGGGAAAAGCATTTTGAAGTTAATGTTGAATATTTGAAGYTAAATGTTGAAAAGCACCTGGGAAAACATAATGGGTCTTTTCCCCACTCCAGCTCCCTCCCTTCTGCTTTACCAATCCACAAGTTCAAMACTGCTCAGCTTTGTAAAACTCAGGTCTTCGCAACACTGCTGCCCAAGGTCCTCACTGATGGAAAGCTGTTGTCCCTTATCCTGCAGCAGCTTGGGGAGATTTAGATTAGCTCATAGAAGGGTTAGAGGTTGGCTCCTTCAGCAATACCTGCTAATGGCAGATTTGGGGGGAACTGTTAGCAGGAGGCACAAAATGCCATAGCAGCCAACAAGGCCCATAAAAGCAGTCCAAATTTGTTCCTCACCTTTAGAATCAAACTGGAATACTCATGAAGGATTTCAATCCTTAAAAATGCACAGGAAAGAGACTGTCTGAGAAGCCAGGCTATGGATAACCAAAAGGAAGCCTCTAGCCATGAAAGAATTCCCCTTGAGACCTGTATGCAGAATCTGCGTGGGAGGYCCAAGAGGACAAGATGCTCCAGCTAAGACTTCAGCCTGCAGGGAGACTGCTTCTGGGAATGGGTATAAAGTTTCCTTTCCATCCTCTACCCTGARTTTTGCAAAGGCTCTAGTGGAGTGTGTATTCAGTTTTCCTTGGGGCTGGATCAGCTCTGATCCAGGAGCAAAACACAAGGCTAGAGACTGAGATTACCTTCAAAGAGAGAGAATGGCGTATCTGGAGTCCGACACCCATGCTGGCCATAGCTTAAACACCACTCTGCAAACTGAGAAAAGAGGTACAAGAAGTGTTCAAATTTGGTTAAAGGCAAATCTTGAAAAAAAATACTATCTCCTGTCCTCACGTTACTCCTTGCAAAGCAAGGCTTCTGAGGGAAGGCTGTCAGACGGTGACTCCACTGCAGAAGGATTGGTACAGCTGGTCAGATCTAGCTCCATGTCTGAAGAAATTGTATTGCAAAGGTAATGATGTAGAAGAGAAAAGTAAATACTTCCTCACACAAGCTCTTACCTTGCAGGCCCTATACAGGTATTTCATGTTCTGGGTGAGGTTGTACAGCACCAGGAAGCCGTAAGCATTGCCAGCTGTGCCATGGCACAGCCCRTAGCCTTTCTTCAGTAACCCGTGCTTCCAGATCACTTCTGCACACTGCAGGGCATCGTTTAGGTACTGCTGCTCCCCAAAGACCTGTAGAGACAAGAAATTGTTATCCTTGCTGAGGCAGTGTCCTCCAAAGAGCATCCCTGTGGGATGTAGTGACCTAGGTCTCCTGCTGAACTAACTTTGCTGTTTACTTTTAAGAATACTTTTGATATCCTAAGTGGGGATGTATGACCATCACTTCACACACAAYCAGTTGTCACCATCCATGACCTGCAACAGGACACCCATGCAAGTGATGGATATTTTCAGAAGTATTTTTTAATAGACTAATTTCTGTATCAGTTAGTGGTTCCTGTAGGGTGATTTCACTGTAACAAGCCATCCTACTTCCAGGCAGGGGAGGCATCTCACAGCATCTTCTCCAGAGGAAGCTCCACATTCAGGGGTCTCTGAAGGGTTTTTGCAAGGTTACTGGTACCTTGTAGGCCTGGACAAGCATGTAGATTACACCTGGTGCTCCATGGCACCAATGGACGAGCAGGTCTCTGGTGTCACCGATGCATGGAGGGTAATTCCCAGATGGGAACTTGAGCTGGCAGACATAGTCCACACTGGGTTTGACTGTGTTGTGCAGCTTTACTTGGCTCACTCCAAGGCCAGGCTAAGAGAGAGAAAACATTTAAATCAGGGAGAATTACCATTCCATCTGTCCCTAAGAGACTCAAGGTCTGCCCCTGAAAGGTGGAAACAAAGTCAACTATGGCTACATTTCAGCTTGCTCCTGGTAAATTAAGTAATCTCTGTGGTTTGGGCTTTCACACTTCACAACTACCCATTCAGCCCCTGGCTGCTCTGCCTTTTGGCAGGGACTTATTTTGAGTCCTACCCTTGCATCCCAGAAACAAAGACTGTCCCTAGCATGTCACCTAGCCCTCTATGCAAGAGAGCTTGTTGCTATAGGCCTCCACTATGTGAACTGCTGGTTAATACAAGTCACATTTCTCCACAGATCTCCAAGACTGGAGATTCAATCTTAGATTTGAAGAAAACCTTTACAATTGATAATGCATAATAACACATGGCTAAGTSCATCAGACAAGGTATCTTTCCCAGTTTGACATTGCCAAGAGCCAATTCAAATGCTATTCCTCATTCAAAGAAATGTAAAACAGCTGTTAAGGGGTCCTCCCTTCCCTCATGCCTCTTACCTGCATGAGATAATARTAAATCCCAGCCAAACCATGGGCCGCTCCTACATAGTACTCCTGGTACCACTCATACATCAGTGGGCTCTTTGCTGTAAAGTTCCTCTTTTTGGCCAGGTTCTCTCCTGAGGCTAGAACTGCTTCGCAGATCTGTGGATGGGAATAAAAGTGGCTGAGGGAAATCTTGTTGTCTTGGATACAGCACAGTGTGTATCCTGACACAGAASTAGATTTGTTTTCTGCCCAAGAGGAGAGTGGAGTGAAATGTATGCCAGACCAGTACTGCCTATGGATGTACATGGACAGTGGGGGACACAYGATGCTTTGTCCCTTTGGAAGAAGAGCAGGTATACCATAATGTAATTTTTCCTTTATTGCTAGAGTTCTTTGTATCTAGCACTGATTTCTACCTGCCCCAAGACGAGCTGCATGGGAAGAGAGAGATACCAAATTAGCAAAAGGCACAGTACCTGCTGAATGTGACTTTGAGGGATCTTTTCCTCTTTAAGGTGCTGGTTCACAAATATCAGTGCAGAGAGATAGCCCATGCGCCCATAGAGCAGTTCATCTGGCACTCGTGGGTCAGCCTTGTGCAGGTGGAGCAAACTACAATGAAAAATTCACATGGATGGGGGTGAGAAGACAYTCAAAGCCATGTAAACAAGCACTAAGACTGAAGTCAAAACCACAGTTCAGTCCTTCACACTGCCTGTGCCCTGGAAGTTATTAGGCTGGCCTCTGGCTCTCAACCTTCCAGCTACACAAGATRTGGAATCGCCCCTTCCCCTCTGCCTTTTGTTTGGCTCTTTGCTTCAGTCTGCTCAGCTCTTCACAATGCACTCACACCATGTGCTTGGGTTTTAGGAGCACCAGCTTGSAAAGCGACTTGAGGGGGGAACCTGGGCTAAAGCTCTGTGTGTGYCAGGCTTCCTTGTCACAGCAGTGTGAACAACAGAAAAGATGCTTGGCAGCCTTTGTTCCCTGGGCTCCAGGGMCTTCACAACAATGTGCTGCAAAGGAAAGAAGCAACCAAATGTCCCAAGTAGAGAGGATGCTGGGCTGTGACTTCTCATGGCAGGAAACTTTCCCTTGGCACTGGACTCAAARTGAGCAGGGATATGGAAGGAGAAAGGAAGGAGCATTGTCTCAGATTGGCTCTTGTACCACTTGAGATGTGGATTGCTCCATGGGGGAGGTTTCTCACAGATTAAACCTGAGAGATACATTTTACACCAGGCATGGGTTCTTCTCTCAGGCCTGCTGCCTCCTCATGGCACCTGTCTCCAAGTCCAAGGAAGGCAGCTTAAAGAGGGTTTCCATGTAGATTTTGGACAGGTAGATTGCCTAGCAGCAGGCTGGCCAGAAGAGAAGCTGGCTGGTGATGTTTTTCAGTTCTGAGATGTYAGGAAATGTCAGGTGAAATAGAAGGAATGGATGGATGCATGAATTGTAATAGCAGCTGTAGGGATTTTCTCAGGTCTGGATGTGATATATCTTCTTTTCATGGGGAAGTCTGGAGCAGATGGAGCYACTGGTCTTACTACTTGTGCCTTACAGCTTTACCTCTAACTCCTTTTCAAGCAGTATCATCAGGTGAGGAAGSCTGCCAGTTGTTTCTGCTTTTTTTGAAATGTGGTCATGCATTCAGAAGGAGATATGTGGAATGCTGCTCAACTGATTGCATACACAATRTGAGGGGTAAATAGATGTCTCTGAAAGGAAGTGCCACTACTATTCACATATCAGCCTACTACCTCAACTGCCAACAACTGGCAGTTTCTAGACAGAGGGAAATCAAGGCAGCTGCAGAGCAAAATGGGATTTTTCTAACCATTGGCTCTGAAAGCAAAGCTTTGACCTTCTGAATTGGTGGGAGGTGACAGGAAAAAGAGGGCTTCTAGAACATGGCTCAGATTTTCACAGGCTYTTGGAAAACAGGCTGCCCTGAAACATTAGTCTCTAGAGCATAAAAGTACATTTGTTGGTCATGAACTCAATTAGGAAAAAGCAAGCTTCTGTCTCTTCCACTGCAAGTAAAACCTGGCTGATCGATTCTCTCCACTRGCTCTGTAGAGATGAGGTGCTTTAAAAGACAGAGAACAAAATGCAGAGAACCCCTTCTTCTCCACAGCTCTGATAGAAGTGCTCTTTCYATGCACAGCTTAGCAACTGTTCTGCAACTAAACAGCATACTCAAAAACCACTTAAGAGTTTTGATTTAGGGAGCTACTTCTCAAAGAAATACTATTTTAAAGGAGCACTGTCAGGCCAACTGCTCTGGGAATTGGTGACAGAGTAATGACAGTAAAACTGTTCATTTGAGAAAGACACGTTAATTCTCTTTTCCACCTCTCAGACGTATAAAGAAACTTGTTTCCAGTATTCTGCCTTTATTATACCATTAGATGCAGGGCAGAATTAATAACCAGATTCTATTCTGCCACCAAACCGTAGGTGGAACAAGAGGGATATGGGTAGGGRAGACCTCAGCCAGTAATCATGAATTATGGATCTTTTTCAAAGCATGGGAATTATGCATTGACCACAACTGACCAGTACTGTAATCACTGTAAGATTTGTCATGCCATCAAAGCAAAATCTAAAAGATTATTATCAGAATAAAGAAGAGTGTTCTGTCCTCAGACTGACTGCATCTAGATAAACCAGAAGTTATTCTTAGTTAAAGGAGAGCCAACTTGGTCTCCAAACAATACAGACACCTCTGATTCCCACCCATGGCTCTTTTTAATTGCTGTTATGCATCACTTGCTCATGGCTGCTTAAGGACAGTCAGTGTTCCAAAGCATCAGGGGTTTTGTCTTTCTTTATGCTGACCATGTGTAAATAGAAACTCTCTGCAGGGCTGTTTCTCACCTTCTTAAAACCAATCTCCCTTATTCTAGAAAAGATTGCAACTGCATCTCCTCTTAACCATTTTCCTTCCTCTGCTGCTCTAGGACTGCTTGTTTGTCCTTTTCTTGTYGTAAATACCCAACAAAAATACATTTGAAAACAGTCGAGGAAAGGCAGGAAATAGAAATAAATGAATCATAACCAGCTGCATGCTGCAGTTGAAAGGGATGCTGTCAATCTGACGTTTAAGTCAAAGATAACTAATAAAGTGCAAGTGGAAGCAAGTGCCAAAATTAAATCTAATAATCTTACCACATTTTTCCTTCTCATCAAAATGACTCTAAAGCTAAATTAGTGTTCTCAAAAAACACCAGACCGCACCTTCTGGATTTTTTTTTTTTTTTCATTTTGGCACTTTTTTCTTCCTGTGTTTATCAGATTTATTTTTAAGATGGCAATACCAGCTGAACAATATCCTTGCTCCCCAGCCTGCAGATGCCATGCAAATGTTTTGTCCTTAAACCACCTCTTTCACCAGGGCAGGAAAAGTTTGTGCTGCCTTGCTAARTTACTAAATTACTTCTCACATGAGACTGCAACAAAATGTGTTCACGTTTGTCAGAGAGTGCCTCATACAAGCCCAGGCCAGCTCTATGAGCAAGAGGAAGGTCAGATCAAAGACATAACGAAGAGTTTTACCGTGTGATGCAGTCTGCTGCCTGCTTCTGGTTCTGCAGCTTGTGGTAGATGACAGCAGCCACTGCCAGGGGCCCGGCATCACCACACAGGAAGGTGATGGATCGCCTGGTCAGGCAGCTCAGACTCTTCTTCACATACTCATGGGCCACCTGAAGATAGGCTGGGTCTCCATACACATCATACAGGTGCAAATACAGCAAAGCAATGCCTGCAGAAGGAACATGAAGWTTGTATCCACTAGAAATGTTTGCTCTTCCTATTACTTTAATGAACCTAAAAGTCTGGCCTTGTCCTCAGCTTCATCTAAGGCATAAAACTCTATAGACAAGCTTCTCAAGCACATCCAGAGACATAACTCAGAGATTCCTTTCCTTTCCTTCATCTCCTTATACTTGATGCTGCTTGTGTGTGGATGGCAGGTCAAGACAACAGCAGGGTCTGACCCGGGAGGGTCTGGAGAACAGCACAGAATTGCATACAATTTTATATACAATTACATATAATTGTAGTGGCAAGGAGCAAAAGATGAGACCTAGACAAACCCACCTGAATCCATACACTGTACCTGTGATGGCTGCTCAACAGTGAAGGTGGAAAAAATCATTTTTGGGCAGATGGTACCTGTGACAGAGCAGCTCAGAGTTGTCACCCTCTATTTCTTCCCCATGCTTAGGGAGTAAGGGGTTRGGTCACTTAGCTTGGATTGGACTTTAAAAAAAAAAGTGACACGCCATCAGCGCAAGAGAAACAGCACCCTTAAGACATCCAGACATCCTACTTGACTATTTTTCCCCTTATATTATTCTTTTTAAATTCCTTTCCACTGGAAAGTACCAGCAAGGTTGTTACAGCTCCCTGAACATCATCTCTTGCTGATGAGCAAGTCCCAAGCCCTACAGCAAGGACTGGTGCATCCTAGAAAAAAGAAAAAAARGGCACTGCCCAATTCTCCTTGGCAGCACATCCCTCATGAGATCACCCCTTGTCTGAAACACAAACAGCTGCCTGAAATGCTGGAAAAGGCTGCATAGTCCTTACTAGAGCTGTCCAATGTGCTGGCCAGCTATAGAAATAATTCTGCTACTGTGSAGTCACATCAATTGCTGTCCTTTGCCTCTGTCTGTCTTCTCTTCACCSAGCTCTTGAAGCTTTTAGTAGGTAACTGAGGAGCCTTAAGTAAGTCTGTGCCTGAAAGGTCTGCCACACTTGAACCATCCTTCTAATCTGGGAGCCRTCCTCAAATATGCACTTAAAAATCTACTGGCTTATATCCCTTTGATAAGGGCATATTTCTCCCCTTACCAGTAATCATTTCCAAGAAGACTCAGGTCCTGCATTTAAACCTAAATTAATTGAGCCAATCTCTGCAGATTTTGATGTGTTAAGGTCAAGGGGGCAAGCATGCTGCAAAATTACCTTCCAGCGTACTGAGGACAGTTTCAAACTTAGATCATTTTCTCGTTTTGCATGGGTAATCTCCAAAGCTTCATGCTACAAATAATTCAATTCCACATGTACATTATGTATAAAATTTCCATTTCCTGCTGAAGCTAATAACCTTGCTCTCACTCTAAGCAATTCAGTGCTAGCAATTCTAGAGAGAGCTCGGCTGTACAGTGCCATCACTCAAGTCTACAGGATGTGGATATGAAGCCCTTCTTTAAAGGGGAACCCTCTTTTTCCAGCCAGAAAATGTCAAGTGACTCTCCTTGATTTATTTAGTACCCAGTACATCTTTTAGACTCTTATTGGCCTGGTAGCTGTCCAACCACAACTTGCACTCATGACTTATCTGATTTAATATACAACTTTTAGCTTTCTAAGTTGTTTCTATTCCCACTGCTMTCATACCACCTTAATTATGCACATAACTACCCTGTCAAGACCACTGCTAGGATTGAATTGTTAGAAAGTAAATGCCTCAGCATTGTTTTCCTCTGATTTCTTTGTTTCTCCTCTTTTCAAACGTTTCTCACCCCAATTCCTCCTAGGCCCAAGCATCTTTGTCAAGACTCCAAACAATCACTGACCTGTACTAAAGGATGGAGTCGCTTTCCCAAATAATTTTCCCTTCTTTAAAACCCAAAGGTCTTATGAACTGAAYCTATAGCCAGTTTTCTTAACTCATTCCTCAAGGAATTCCTACTCCCAAATCGTTCAGAAGGGTGCAAGCAGTGCTGCCTTGAGCCTGCTTCTCACTCTGYTGCCATCTGTGAGCCCCAGAGTAGGGAAGGCAGCAGAGGAGGGCAGGCCAAGCATGAAGAGGCAATGTTGACAGGTGTATGTAGAAGGATACAAAATGCAGCCACCTGGCTGGGAATATCCTGTATTAACCTGTGTGCCAAGATCCAGGCAGAGTATTTCAGAGGCAGTGAAGGCTGGAGACAAGAACATCYACCCAATAACCTTGGCTCAGTTAAGGCAATGTTCTGCAGAAGCTCTTCCACTGCTCTGCCTCACCCCCTATCCAATAATATCTTCCTCGCCCCGACTGACAAGGTAGGACTTGCTGACTGGGGGTTTGTTTGGCATGCTTTAAGTGGTATACATCATCAGACACATGGGGCTAGGTAGGCTGTGAATCTGCTCCATTTCTGTGTGCTCTGGAGTCTATGTTCAGTGTCCCAGTTGGAAATGTGACCTAATTTTAAGACCTCTGATTTTTTCCAGCAGAACTGCCATGCAGTGGCCACCTGTGGCCTGCTACTGCCAAAGATGTCTTGGCTTTGTTCTGTTGATTGGTTACTACTGGACCTTCTTCTCTGTAGTTCCTCAGATGTCCAAGTTTTTTATTCCTTGCTCCTGCTACAGAGCCAAATGTGATGGGGAATGGATCAGAGAGCCCTTGATGGAGCAGGGCTGCAGTGAACATATGCTACTGACAGCCCAACAGGGCTCTGATGACTGAAATGGCCACCTCCAGCAYGCAGGAAGCCAACACACTGGAGTCGAGTGCCAATGCCAAAGATGCTTGCTCACTGCAGGGAATCGGGGCAAAAGTCTATTCTGCATTGTCTCAAAGCCTGCTTAGTCAACACCTTCAGAAGCCCAGCAAGCAGCACCTCTCTTCTCTCACCCTCCTGTATGGGCAGTATGGTAGGTGCAGAACTTTCTTCTGAGTGGGTCACAGGAGAAAACTTAAACTGTACATAGTAGAAATGGAATTGCTTGCACCAGTTGGCTTGTGCTGATGCCCTGACTTCAGCATCCATTGCTTTCAAAAGTGCAGGCACTGCTGGAAATACCAGGAAAGGACTTGCTTGTGRGCTAAAGCACTGGAGTAGGCAGAARGAGTATCTCATGCATATGACCATTCTGTTGATCAAAGAGCAGCTAAACTTCTCACAAGTTTAGACTTGCTCTTTTGTTGGATTGCACTACCTCTGCAAGCAGTTATGCCATTAGACTGTTCTGAACATGCCTCCTTACCCAGCAGGAGCTGAGCTGTGCTTCTACCAAGGACAGGAGATTGCCACAAGAGGRTATTTTGTTCAAACCGGTCATCTAGAGTCATAAAGACCTAGAGGTCTTGCACTGACCCAGGGAAGTGAGTCAGCCAGCACCCTCAAAGCAGGATGTCAAACACAGAGAGAAGCAGCAGAATCCTATCTCTGCACAGTGATGAAGCCTGATGGTTTCTAGTGAGACAGCTGATGTCATTTTAAGTCAGGCATGGGGTAAAAGTTAGCAAGGATGGCCCAACTTTATTGCCAAGCTCAAAGCACAATTAGAATYTTTTCTGATGCAGCCACATGAGATGTTACCTTGCACTCCTAAATGCATGCCAAAGCCACGCTGCATGCAACAGTGAGGCATCCCTGGAAGGCCACATTCAGAACTGGCTGGGAAGCCAGCTTGCAGCCTACCTTTCCAGTGCACTGTGGAACACGGGACATTATTCAGGATGTTTAAGTATTTATCCTGCCTTAAACACTGGGTAACAAAGCTTCTTTTCTAAAACATTTTACCCTATCACAAAATCCTGCAACAGGTTAGGCTAGGGGGGATCAGTGGTGATGTACTCCAACCCTCTGAAAAGAAGGTCAACCTCAAATTTACATGCCATTGCTCTGGGCATTCTCCAGTCAAACACTGACTATCTCCAASAACAGAAATGTCACAGAAACTACCCACCAAGCATTTGGCACGAATGTAGTTTCTGTGGATCACACAAGGCACTATTTAACTCTCACCAAATTCAGCCTCACTTACTCTTGTTTTGTAGGGATTATCTGAGGATTTCTATTTTTCAGAACAGGACTAAAGGGGGTGCAAGTTCTCTAAGTTCTGAGATGAAAAAGAACATATTGCACTAAAGTGAATGAAAAGTGTTTTTTCCAGAAATTTTCCTGAAATGGTTCAGTCATAATTTCATTCTTACATGTCCTTCCCTTCAAAATACAATTGAGCCGTGCTCCTTGTCCCTGCTTCCCAATGGGCCAGCCAAAAGCTGTGGAAGGGGCAGGCCAGCTGGACTCACTGAGCTCTTTCAGAGGCCCTGAAAGCCACGACTAAGACATTGCCAGAGAAGGAAATGCTTGCATAGGAAACAAATTCCAAATGCACTATCATAGAGTGGAGGAAGGGGAATCTCTCCCTTTTATACCTAATCACCTTGGAAGGATGGAACAGTYCAGTAGGCACTGGACTCAGGAGCTTCCTAGCTTCTGCAGTCAGCTGGTGACAGAAGTGAATTTCCTTCCATTCCCTTTTCAATATCTACAGTCCCAGTCAAGGCAGTCCTCAGAGCAAGGCCTTTTGCATTATCACAAACTCCAGCAGGCATRTATGGACTCCTCAGCATCCTCATGCTAATCTGTTTGAAAATGCACGAGGGTGCTATGCTTCTGCCAGGATCTGAACTGCTTCTGACTCACAATTAGCTTAGAGCAGTTTACCTTCCCTCAGTTAACATTGTGACATCAGTGAAACAAATTAGGAAAAAAACTCTTCCAGCAGTCTTGCTAAACTGATGAAAAGCCAAACCAGAACAAAACAGCYGAGGCTGGTCTGCACCCAGCACATACCAGGTGCTGTCTATGGGGTCCTGATCTACATGGGAACTGAATGAGACCATAATAAACTGATTCAAATGTGTTTTGAGGGCACTTGGCCATATGCTGGATAATCTTGATCCAAAGTGTGTTTTTCCTATCTCTGAGCTGAAMATCTAAGTCCTTCCCTCTCTCTGCTCCAACTTCATGTGCCAAGAATCTGGGGCTTCTCTGGAACAAGTGCAGGCTGTGAGAACAGGGCTCTGTCAAGTGTGTTGGGAAAGAAAAGGGCCCCAAAGTAAAAYGCCAGCATATGCTGCTTATTACTGAGCGTAATGTAGTACACTTAAGCAAGTTACATTTCATGCAGAGTTTGCACCAAGAGAGACATATTTCAAATCTCTCTTTATTAGTGGCCATGAGAGTGAGGGTTGATTTCAGACTCCTGGGCCATGATTTACATGAGGAAATACTCAACAAACCTTTCCTACACAACCAATTACAGGAAAAAGCCACGCTCTCGGCCCAATTAATTTTGTCTCTGGAAACCAGCTCTGAATAAATTAACATAGCTAGGATTGGAAAAGGAGGTAGGGTGACAAAGTAACATCTGCAAACTTCACCATAATGGCTGTGACCTCTAGGAAATCTGTCCATGGATTTTTTTCCTATTAGCCGAGGCAAAAAGGCTGTGTGCCCACTGAGGAATGATCTCAGAGAGGAAGAGAGAAGAATCCCTCTTSAGAAACTCCCTTCCAAATAAAAACAAGCTGAAATCCTACCAGAGTTTTCAACCGTTTCATAATTGCAGTCACTTTCCAACATGAAGTACCTTATGACCACCTTAAGGAACGGAACAYGGCATCTGGGGAAAKGTGTTTTCCTTCTCCCCAAAGGTTCTGAGTGTACTCCTAACATCAACTATCCTCCTGCTTTATCTCCTGAATTTTCTGATCAGAAGCAGACTTTGCCATCATGACYGCAGACCATCTTCAMTCGTGCAATGCTTTTCATTGGAGGRGACCTCAGAGCAGGGTCACACAGACTGGAAAACTGAACGTGTCTCCCAAGGTGAGAAATCAGTCAGCACTCAGCAGAAATGTATACATTCATTGGCAGCAGGAGCAGACTGCTGCTAAGATACCAACAGATGAAATCTTCCAAGCTGGAATTTAATACTGCCATTCTAGTATTCCTTATTAACTTCTCTTGAATGCTCTCAATGCCTGTCTGCCTTAGATAATTTTTAAGCAGATATTTCTGGCACTGCTGTCATCAAGCTGCAACGTTAGTTTTACACTAACACAGTGAACATCCCTGTCTCAGGCAAACTGTTGGCATTAAGCTCCACAGCACCCACACACAAGCCAACCACACCCAGACTGTATGTAGAAAGTTACCACTTAAGATTGCAGTGAAGCACTAAAAGAAWAGCAACAGCAGCAAAAAATCTTGCAGCAAGCATGTGATTAATTTTACCCTACGGTCTCTGCCTACGGCCTGGCACACTGCAGAAGGCAGGAGACAAAGCACACAGCAGCAGCTAAAAACGGGCCACAGAAAGAGGTGTGTCCTCCCTGGCACCAGTGAGTAGAAACRGGGAGAGGAAGACAGGGCACACTCCCAAAGAAAGAAAATCAGGTTGGAAATGCAGAATAGGAGAAAGACAAGCTCCTGGAAGCTTTGCACACAAGTTAGCGTSAGAAAGGCTTCCACACTTTGTTATACTCACATTAGCATTTCTGCTCCTTCCAGCAGGTACTGGAGCAGACCTAGACCTTGCTAAGTGGAGAGGCACTACCTGGGGAGCAGGAATGGAGCAACCTGCCAGTCAGACAAACTCATCAGATAAAATTCAGCCTGAACAGAAAAGATGGAATTATCTCAGATGTTACCTCACTGCTGCCAGATGTAAACACTCATTGCAGGTAAACGACCTAGCATGTGCACCAGCCTACCTCATGGAGCACTGGATGGAACACTGGTTTTCTCATCACCATCCCAACCACGGCTGGATTTGGAGACCATCCCTTTGAAGGCTCCCATGTCTACTCTCCAGCAAGTGCTGGCTTTCTCCGTTGCATAAATTCASCACTAACCAAGACTGCGTTCAGTCCTGCCCTTTGACACTGTGGTCTTTGCTCAGTAATTCGAAACCTCCTTCAAAAATGGGGAGTCCTGAGAAGGACATCCCTTTGTTCTAATGGGCTAAAACATGCAGAATGAGTGCCATTCTTGACATGGATGTACTGCGACCGTTTTAATGGCCAGACCCCCACGGTCTGCCCCGGCCTGATCTAGAAGTGTGCTCCAAGCATCTCCTGCCCCATAGGATCCGACCCTACCTGCCCAGCCGGTGTATGCGGTGCAGTCGTGCGGGTCGGCGGACTTGAGGCCCCTCTCCATCTGCTGCAGMAGCTCCCTGATTTTGTTATTCAGCCGCTGCGAGAATTCGGGGGTCAGCTGTGGAGAGAAAACCCACCAAGCGTGAAGACAACGCCAGTAGGCAGGTGGGCATCGGTACCCAGGGGACAGCCGGCGGGCACACAGCCGGGAACAGCGAGTTTGTAACGAGACAGCTCTCTGTCTGCATGCCCGGGGCAGCTCCCCGCGGCCGCCTCGCCCCAGCCCCGCTCACCCGCCCGGCCGCGTCGAAGTAGCTAGTGGCCAAGGACTTGTCATAGTCCGCGTAGGGGTTGGGGAGAGCCCGCTGCGCCATCATGGTCCCGCTCCGCTCGGCTCCGCTCCGCTCGGCCGCGGCCCGCCCCGGCTCCGCCCCGGAAGGCGCCGGCAGCGCTGGGCCTGTGCGCGCCCGGGCGGGGCTCGGGGCCTGTGCGCTGAGGGGCGGCAGGGCCGTGATCAGCCCGTTAGGCCTGCTAAAGCACGGTCTGAATGCTTTAGAGAGGCCTGTGCAGTTAAGGTCCCTTGCAGCTGATTGTCTAGGGTTTAGGGGCCCATTGCTGCTGTGTGTGCTTTAAGAAGCCCTGTGGAACTTAAGGTCTCTCGCAGGTGGTCCTGTGGTCTTTAGGGATGCTGTGGGGCTAAAGGTTCCGTGTAGTTCTCAATGCCTAGCTTAGGAAGCCCTGTGAGATTTTGGGCCCCTTGCAGGTCACCTTGTTTAGAGGTTCCATGTAGTTGGCCCTTTGGTTCATCAAAAGGTCCTTCATGGAAATGTCTAAGTCACAAATGATAATATTTCAGTTATTGCAAGTTGCGTGTCTGTTGGGGATGCACAGAGGGATGTGGTTGAACTTGAAGCTTTTGGTGGCTTGTAAATGTCTAAGTGCAGTGACGCTGCTCCTTGTAGCWGCTGAATCCATCTGGGTGGGTTTAGAAGAAACTACTGCTCTAAGAATTTATGTATTGGTGGCAGAACACCCTGAGAATACATTAGGATGCTTCAATCATATCTGTGACAGTTATATTGTGGAAGAGATTTTGGTTTTCTGTCCATRTGTCCATTCTTTATTGCAATCAATAAAATCAGACCCCCCAAAAAGTGAATTATTTCACAAGATGGTGAGAAACAAGCAGAAAAGAGGGAATCCCGATTTTGTTTGCTTTCAATTCCTTTTTCACTCAGCTGTTTCTTATTTAGTGAATTTCAATCATGTCAACATTGCCTTGCATTCAAGGCAGGGAGAKGGACTGCTGTTTTTGTATTCAAGGAGACAGCTCTAGAATCAGCAAAAATAATGTGGAATCTTCTGCTTAAGGCCAAATTCACAGCCCTATSTTATGGTCTTCCCTTCCATCTGCAGGTCAAAGCAGTATTCACTGCCCTCCTTCCCTCAGGCACAGTTCAGTATTAACTTCCAGCACAAAGCRCACCATTTCAGCTTCAGAATCTTTCTTTGATTCCTCACATTAGTTTTTTTCCAGATCACTTAAAGATAAAGATGCTTCTCCCAAATTATCCTGCCTGTTCTTTTTACCAAGAACATCAAAAGAACATCATTCCTGCCAAGGAGTTATGTTTTAGTATGTTATTTTCTAATTCGTCATAGTCACTACAGCTTCGATGCACCTCCTGTTGCCCAGGATGAACCCAGAAATCCAGGTTTCAGCTGTCACTCAGAGCCCAAGTAAGTGACTCATGATTCGTCCTTAGTAATCTGCCCATGCAGAATAGGGAATGAAAGAAAGAAGTGAATTTGAGAGGAAAGTTGCTCCTGTGTTCTCATTGCAATCCTAGTCATTTTGGGCTGTTTGGGGGTGGCGTTTGGTTACTTTGTCTGGAAAAGGTCATGCTACGTTCTATGAAAAAGAATTCAAAAAGTAATTAAAACAGATCTGTTTAGAACATATCTAGAGATGAATTTTGTTGCTTGCAGCTGTGAGAGCACACAGAGAAAATGATGAGAAAGCATTCTCCAGTAACYTTCTGGCAGTCCCATCACAGTCCCAGAAAAATCTGTCTGAAGTGACTCACAATCAGTGGTTGAATAGATGTCCCAAAATCTTTCTACCTGTGAGAAAACAATAGGGTGTAATATTTTCTGCTCCACAACATTGTCTAAAAGACAAATCCTTACTGAATTTTAACAACACAAGAATCCTGGCTATTAGTGGTCCCAATTGGACTGGTAGCATATCTGTGGATTATGTGAATGAGATGGATATATAACAGTCCTTGAAGAAAGCCTCCAAATGCTGGGGTGTCTGTTCTCTCCTCATTCCAGTGAGGATGTGAAACCAAAATCTCTGACAGATGTTCAACTGCCTACATACCACTTGGCATCCTGCCTGAGGGCATACTGAAACATCTCTTTTCTGAGAGGATCTGTCTCCTGGAGTCACCATCCTTCACTGGCTGTAGGCATCTGTCAGTTCTGTAAACTCACCTACAGTGAATCTGCATGCAGCAGGTGCCCAGTATGAGTGGTGTAGATGTGGACTTCCAAGTGGCCTTTTCAAAATGGTAGTTTGGCATCTGCTCCCCCTTCACAGCCTCCTTTCAGGGTCAGAYTGATCTCACACAGCAGGCTCCATGCTGTGGACCAGATTGGCTTGGCATGGTAACCCCATGACAAATATGAAGGTTGCTTGTTCTCCTTTGCAGCTGCATGCTATRTGTGAGGGAGTGCAGAGAGCAAGGATAGAGTGTCCTTTGTAGCCTTGTCAGCTAGATGAAGGAATTTGAGAGGCTCTGTGCTCCACAGAGCATGGTCATCCTCCAGGTATGTGATAGTGTCCTGGAGAAATGTACTGGCAAAGCACTTGGGAGGGGTTTCATCTGCTGAAAAATTGCCCAAGGGATGTCTCGGCAGAWCTACTRCATCACAGACCTACTGCAGKAYGAGATTTTTTGTTACAGTTAAGAGRGGTAATCCAAGTTGTGGTATTTATCTCCCCATCTCTGCKTTGGTTTGTTTCTTTTTGGTGACAGCACAGAATAAAAGTGAGARGCTTCCTAGCGGTATTCATTAGCCTGTCTTACATATTATTTATTCAGCAGCAGCATGGCTAAAGATACTTTGATGTCCAAAGTGTCCTAGGACATATAAAAGATCAAAATCAAAGATGCCATTTTCTTAATTTTGAATAACAGTTTTGCATATCAGATGTCATTTCTGCCATACTGCTATGTATAAACTATAGACAACTCTAGAAACTTCGCTGTTCTTTAATATTAGAGCCACAGCTCCCAATATTCAATCTCATTAAAAATGCAAACCTACATCAAGAGGTTGAAGAYCTTAATCCCATTCTGAAGCTAAGTAGGCTTGGCTTTRGAAGGTTAGGCAAGTGTTGTATTCCACTATTAWGAGTGGAATTYTTTTCATTTCAAAAGGATATCCAGGAGAAGTGAAAAGCTACTTTACTATACTTTTTTTTTTTTTTTTTTTTTTTTTTTTTTTTTTTTTTTTTTTTTTTTTTTTTTTTTTTTTTTTTTTTTTTTTTTGCAATTTACAGATGGAATTGATTGTTTTTCTACTAGCAGCTTGTATGAAGAGATCAAAGACTAAGTATTGGTCAAAGAATTTGTGCTCTTCTAGTTGATTCTATTGATAGTATTTCTGGGGAGCCTAGCTCGCCTATATCCTGCTTATATTTATTGTGGCCAGGTATTAAGCCAAGCATTCAGTACAGAGAATTCTGACTCCATGGACAATCACAGTGGGGGCTTTGAGCTAGTGATTCCCACTCAGATCTCAAAGCTGCAGTAGGTGCTTCTGTGAAAACATTGCTCACAAGGCAAAAGGAAAAAAAAATAGGAAGGGAAAAGAGAACAAAAGTAAGAATGCTGTTGTGTCTGTGGCTCATCTGCATCTCACATRCTGTGTTAAGTCCTGATCTCATCTCAAACAGGATAGCAGACTTAGAAGCAGGAGGTACAAGCCATAGGACTAATAAGGCCAAAAAGAACATCATCAGCTCTGTGGAATGACTCTTGTCCAAGGACTGAGTAGCTAGGCCAGGACTATTCAGGCTGGARAAGAGATACATGAAATGGGCTGTAGTGGGTGCCTATAGCCTTCAACAGTGTCACCAGGGGGGCGTGACCCACTGGCTTTCAAAGCTGCTGAACATCAACCGGAGTGGCTGCAGCAGCTTTCATTGGTGAAGGAGACTGTTCCTGGAGTTAAGCTATGACAGGTTGTCAGGTACAAAGACACCACCGTGTTTGTGCATGGGAGGTGCTGAGCTGTCGGCTCCTGGGAGTTTGGCGGCTGTGCTGGGGCTGCGGGTGCATGGGTTCCCCAGCACACTGCCTGAGCATCCAGCGCAGCCTGGGCGCTTGGGAGGGTTTCCTCGGGGCTACTGTGCCTGCTACCATGCGTTTATATTTTGCTTTATGGCATGTGAACCTGGGCAGAGCAGTTAACAGCCAAAGAGCTTTGTAGCAACCTGTCTCCATGTCGGCATCCCGCTTAAACTACAAAGATGTCCCTGACGGCAGTGTGTTGGCTTCACCCGCTCTTTCAGCGCTCAGCCGCTAGATGCCTCTGTCCCAYAAGGAAGAAGCCAGAGAAGTCAGCTGTGCCTGTGCTCTCAGCCTGGAGCACCGGAAAGCATCCATGCCCTGCTCACCGTGGGACGGGGGGGCTGGATGCTGTGTAAGGAGCAGAGAGCAGTGGTTCTGCACGTTGCAATCCTCTGTGGCATTTCACCATTTTCTTATCCTTGTGGACCATAAGATATCGATATCCCCTAATGCAGCGGGAAACCATCCTGTCTTAGCAAATGAAAGAAAGAAGTTGRAGAGCAGACCTCATTGAGAAGAGGTGATTGGTGAGGGCTGTGTTTGGTCAGGAGCAAAGAAAACCAGTCAGGAAACTGCTGAGAACTGGATAAAGCACTTTGTTTTGGTGATGAAGTAATTTGGAAAACAGTAGGAATTGTTGAGACATTGATAGACTTTGATCCCTGTTCAGGACTGACATCAAGTCAGATTTCTTTCACTTTTCTATAATGACTAAGGCTGTTCTGTGCAGATTTCTTTCACTTTTCTATAATGACTAAGGCTGTTCTGTGTAGGGCACTTTCATCCTTAAACCTGTCTTTAAAGTTCAGCAAGAGGGTTGGATGTGGTTGTCAGTGTGTGGCTATGACTGATTGCTGTTTGACATCTGTCTGTCCCTTCATTCACCATTGCACATCTACAGGATGAGCTGTGGTAAATATGACTGTTGACTTGTTTGCTTAGCTGTGTGAACAGTTTGGGGTGAGAGTGAGCAGGGTCTCTGTGACACTGAGCAATGCAGTTAGRCTTTAAGTTCTCGAGGGTCTCAGCGGACTTTATTTTTCATTTGGTGCATTTTACCCCTTCTTTAA